TAAACAATAAACAGTAAACAATAAACTTTTAGCTAAATATAGGAAGTATAAGAATAAAAGTAAAATAAAATTCACGGAAAATAAAATGAAATAATATAAATGTAGAGAACTGTATAGAGGATAAATATAGGGACAAAGGAGTTCTTGAGTGTGTTGGTCCTACACTTGGGGAGGAGCAGCCTTTCACTGAACAGGCTCCTCTGGTTGCTGAGGACGGTGTGCAGGGGGTGGCTGGCGTTGTCAATAATGTCCAGCAGTTTGTCCAGTGTCCTCCTCTCTGCCACCGTCACCAGTGAGTCCAGCTTCATGCCGACCACAGAGCCGGCCCGCCTGATCAGTTTATCCAGTCCCCCCCCAGCACACCACAGTGTAGAAGAGGACGCTGGTAACCACAGACTGGTAAAACAGATGTTGAAAGACCGCGGTCTCCTCAGGAAGTACAACCTGCTTTGTGTCTTCCTGTACAGGTGTCTGGTGTGTGTTGTCCAGTCCAGTTTATTATCCAGCCACAGCCCGAGGTATTTGTATGATTGCACAGCCTCCACCTCAGCTCCCTCTAGCAGGACTGGTCGCGGTCTTGGTCTGGACCTCCCAAAGTCAATGACCAGCTCCTTTGTCTTAGAGGTGTTGAGCTGTAGGTGGTTAGTGTGACACCAGAGAGCAAAGTCCTCCACCAGACTCCGATACTCCTCCTCTCTGTCACCCCTGATACACCCAACGATGGCTGTGTCATCGGCGTACTTCTGTATGTGACACAGCTCCGAGTTGTAACAAAAGTCCGAGGTGTACAGGGTGAAGAGAAGAGGGGCCAGCACTGTGCCCTGGGGGGCTCCAGTGCTGTTGATCACAGTGTCAGACGTGGTGTCCTTCAGCCTGACGTACTGTGGCCTGTCAGTGAGGTAATATTTGATCCAGTCCACCAGATAGGGGTCCACTCCCAGTTATCAGAGAAACAAGCTGAGCTAACATTAGCATTAGCTCGGCTCGCAGCCCCTCCGGGACGTCCTTTATCTGTCCAACAGCGTGGGAGAAGCAGTGATTGTTAAGGTGGAACTGCTTTATTCAGTGTGTTTAAGGTGGAACTGCTTTATTCAGTGTGTTTAGTGGTTTTAATCAGCGGGTCTGTTTGTGTTGGAGAGGAGGAGACCTCTGTGGATCATTGGGCTCCCGGTAGAAACCTCCTGAACCATGAACACTGAAGCTCCAAAGATAATCTTTTTTTTTCTCTAACTAACGGTGATGTATGAATGATGTAGACCTAAAATAGCTAGCTAGTGTTGTGCTAACATTAGCTTGGCAACAATTGGTATAGATTGGCTGATTATCTTACCTAAGCTGTGACTACATACATGTATATTTGCTGTTTAGTTATCACACTAACTAAATAGCTATCTTTGTTACTTGTTAACCAGCTATTTACACCTGATAGCAAAACACTATTTATTTAGCTAGAAAGGTAGGTTAGTTACCTAGTTAGCTAGTGTTTTGCTAACATTAGCTATCTTAAGAAGTGACTATATTCTCTTTTATCTTTTAACCATCTTCAAAATGTGTATTTTCAACATAGATTTGCCTAGCATATAGCATATCTTAGTACAGGAAAGGAGGAAGTTGACAGAGACTTGCTCAACTGTGATTGGAGACCAGAAGGGTTAACCAGTGTCCAACTCTTTTAGATCATAACTGAGCCTTTTTTTAAATAAACCTGTGTTTGTGAGCCGGTTTAAAGACTGAAAAGAATAAAAATAAGGATGTGATGAAAGAGTCAGACAGCAGCTTGTTTCCATTGTTTATTTGAGGTAAACGAGGGTTCAGACAGAGTTTGTGTTTCTCAGCTGAACGCAAACGAGTTCTCAGCGTCTTAGGAGGAGGTTTCTGGGGAATCCAGGCGTGGAATCAAAAAGCCCTTAACTGCTGGGAAACTGTCCAAACTGCAGGAAGGAAAAACTAAAAGAAGACACAAAAATTAAGACGAGACAGAAACACCACCGGACTGTCTGATTAACAAACTGTCAGAACGAATAAAAAACATTTAAAAAAAGAAAAGCTGAACACACTGAACAAACACTCCGCAGTCCAATAAAAAACAGAAAGTCTTTTCAGTTCATTTATGAGAATAAAAATACACATTAATAAAATCTGAGAATATAATCCTCCACACATCATCAGCAGTCATATAAAACTCATCAGACTGAAGCTGACAGATCACACTGAACCTCAACAACCTTCAGCAGGGAGCAGACTTCACATCAGGAAGACGTTTGTTATCGGCTGCGTTCTGGAGTTCGATATCGGTCAACTTGTTGGTCACAAACTGGTTTCCAGGGTTGAGCTAGCTGAATATCCGGTACGTCTCTTTTATCTGACTTTAGCTAGCTAATTTACATCGACCATTAGTTACCTCGTTACATCTGATAATGTTAGTGTGACTATATATACGTCTCTTTTATATTTTAACCATCTTCAAAATGTGGTTGTATTTTCAACATAGATTAGCCTATCTAACATTAGCTGTAACAGAGTTTTGTGTCATTGTGTGACTTTGGTGGTTTAACACTTTAATTTGGATCCGAACTAACGTTAGCGGCTGCAGGTCGAGGCAGCGGTGGACCAGAGGACTGTTTTGTGAGTCTGATGGCGTTGAAGAGAGCAGCTTCAGTTCCTCGTCAGAAAGAGCTGTCTGACAGCGAGGTGAAGTGCCGGAAATATTATAAATATATACAATAGTTTAAATATAGCTTAAACTAATAGAATTTTTTTAAATGGGCTACGTTTGCTTCCACAGAAGAACTTGCATCTTTTCCGGCGTTCTTTGTCAATTTCTTGCTAGCAAACGAGCTAACTAGTCTATATCAATTGCTAGTTTTGCTTCAGATAAAAACACCAGCTAGCTAATCAACATCCATCATTAGCTAACTAGGTACATCTGAAAGCTAAAGTTAGCTAAACACTAGCTAATTTACATAAATAGTTAATTAGCTGGTTACATCTGAAAGCTAACATTAGTAAAATGCTAGCTAATTTAGCAAACTAATTGACATCAATAATGTGGTGTAAATAAATAAAGCTTAAACGGATATAGATTATGAAATAGGCTACGTTTGCTTCCACAGACAAACTCACAAGACGTTTTTTCCTCCTTAAGAACAACAACTTCTCTATATAAAAGCTTGTTGTGGTTTCCCGGTTTGATCGATTTGAGCATTCAGAGAGTTTGTGACAGTGCTTCCAACGTATACAATCACTTCCTGTCCGCCATCTGGAGTTTGCCACAGGAACGCAGCGACGTGACGTCACGTGCAAACAAGATAAACGGATAATAGAAAACTCGTAGTTGCTCGTAGTCAGCGATTATTGCAACAGTAAAAGAAAAAAACGGCTTTTGGACTAAAAGAAAACTACAGCTAACATGCAAGCAACGTAGCTGGCTAATATTCATTAGCGAGGCTAATTAGTGTCACACAGCTTAAGTTGTTGTCACTTCCGATGTAGTGAGGCTAGCTGCCTGCTAGAGGTAATGCTAACTTGAATAAAATCACACAGTGTATAAATAAATGAGCTAACTGTCAGTGCCCGTTGATGCATTTAGTTAGCTCGCTGCACAGTGCAAGTGAAATCCTCTAAGACCGCAACGATCCCAAAGAAGAACAGTTTTCAGATACAAACATTAGCAAAAGTGGCACCAAAGTTTTGTTGAGCTATTAATGCTACTTTAGCTAATGCTGAGAGGAAGTTTTACACTAAATATAATTTTTCCAGAGCTGATAATTGAAGTAGCTAACTAGTGAGAGATCCTGTTTCCTTTGCACATGCTCAGTACCAATCGGGTCAGGTACCGTCAGGGCTACTGCTAACTGTATCTGAATAAAACAACTGCCTGCTAATTCCTCCCTATGGTTAGCTACCAGTGTCTATTTCCTGCTGTTAGCTCTGAGCTAACGCTACACAGCTAACACTACACAGGATACTGTGCTATTAGTTGGTGTAATTCAAAGTAGCTAGGTTTGATAAAAGCCTCAACACAAGCTAATGATGCTGACTGAGTTGAGCATTAGGTTAGCAGTTAGTAGGTTGTGCTATTAGTTCTGAGCCTGTGCTAATGATACACAGCTACCACTACACAGGTTACTGTGCTACTAGTTAGCATTTTATCGCATTTGATGTAGCAAAGTTAGCTACTGGTAAAGATCAATACAAGCTAACACTGTTGAGTGAGTGGCCGTAGAAATATAGCATTTAGTTAGCTTGCTGTTAAGTGCTATATTTTCAGGCAGAGGAAACAGTTTGCATCCTAAGCTAACTAGCGTAATGCTGATCTTTGTTTAGCTAGTAAAAGCGAGACACTTGAAATGACAACCTGTAACACTCTCATCAGTGCATTGTGGGTAAAGTGTGATTCTGTGCAGCTTAGCAGTGTCACCACGGCAACAAGCTGACAAGACACGTCACCGTGACGACATCAGCAATGAGTTACACTCTGCTATCTTCCATCGGTTTTTCACTTCTTCTTCTAGAGACTATCCTTCCTTCCTTCTTTCCTCTGATCATCTCAGTCCATGAAATGACAACAGAAAAACCTCCATTATGACCTTTATCCTTTATTCTCTCGCTTTTCCCTTTTCCTGTCCCGTCATCTGATTGGTCAAATGTCTTATCAATCACTGTTGCCAGTCTGTCTCATTCCTGATTGGTCCAGAGCTTCAGTCCATCAGAATGATGTCACGCAGGTCATCTCGTCGGCCAGCTCGTCCTCGTCTCGCCCTGTCCTGATTGGCTCCTCGTCGCTGTAGAGCGCAGCGGGGTCAGCCGGGGCGTTGCTGAGGAACCCGTGGCTCCCCGTGCCGAGGAGGTCACTGGCGGCCGACTCCATCTCGTCCACCGTCATGTGACACGCATCAGCGATCTCCCGCTTGGCGAACGCTACAAACTTTGGATCCCGAGCGTAAAGGCCGAGACCCTCGGAGATCAGAACCTGCAGACGGAGGAACAAACAATCAGTGACTGAGGGAGAGTTGAGGATCAATATCAGTGATTGATCAGCTTCTCCTTACCGCCTCCACCAGACTGTCGGCTGAGCCACGTTTCTCAGTGAGCTGGGCGCCGAGCTGCGAGGGAACTCTGAGGGTGGTGTACGCTCTGTACGGAGGCGGAGCTACGACACAACAACAGTCACATGACACTAAAGATAAAGATAACATTCTGGTCAAAGGTCAAAGGTCATTCTGTGAGTTTAACCTTCCTACCTGATGTCCCTGCAGGGCCTCTGTACCAGGCCGGTCTGGGTGCTGCGCCTGTCACACTGACACCTGATGGAGGAAAAAGACTGAGTTTAAAGTTCAGTCACATGTTTACTGTTTTAGCATGTGACTGCTGTCACTGTTATCATAGAGCCCACTGTTACTTAAGGAAATTTTTAATTTGTTGTTCACATTAGCTTTTTCCCTTGGTGTATAGTTTAATATTGGTCAAACACATTTATTGTGTTTTTAAAATCATAATTATCAGTTCCTCTCCGGGAACCATCACCTTACCGTGGTGGAGAGGTTTGGGTGCTTCTATGAACCTGAGAGCTGTGTTGTTCGGAGCAATATCTCCCAAGGCAAAGTGGTCTCAGGTGAGGGGCCAGACTAAGAATGGTTCACAGAAGACCCCATTGAAGAACGTGGAAGATGTCAAGAGACCTGGGGTCCCCATCTGGAGCCAGGCCTGGAGGGGGGCCCGAAAGAGAGCGCCTGGTGGCCGGGCTTGCCATTGAGCCTGGCCGGGCATAGCCCAAAAGAGTGACATGGCCACATCTTCATCACGTGGGCCCACAGAAACCACCGGGGTCGAGTGAAATGCCAAATGTGTGGCAGTGAAGGCAGAGGGCCTAGACAGACCAGACCCGGGCAGTAAAAGCTGGCTTTGGGGACGCGGAATGTCACTTCGCTGGGGGGGGAAGGAGCAGGACCTGGTGCGGGAGGTGGAGCGCTATCAATTAGATCTGGTGGAGCTTACTTCTACGCACAGTCGAGACTCTGGATCCTTACTCCTGGATAGGAGCTTATTCTTCTCTGGAGTTGCTCAAGGTGTGAGGCGCCGGGCTGGTGTGGGGATACTAACAAGCCCCCGGCTGAGCGCCACTACATTCGAGTCCACCCCGGTGGATGAGAGGGTCGCCTCCCTACGCCTACGATCTGTGGGGGGGGACTCTGACTGTCTGACAGAATATTTGGCCTTCTTGGAGACCCTGAATGAAGTCCTGTATAGGGCTCCAGTAGGGGACTCCATTGTTCTCCTGGGAAACTTCAACACACATGTGGGCAATGATGAAGACACTTGGAGGGGCATGATTGGGAGGAATGGCCTCCCCAGTTTGAACCCGAGCGGTGTTTTGTTACTGGACTTCTGTGCTAGTCATGGATTATCCATAACAAACACCATGTTCGTACATAGGGATGCTCATAAGTGTACGTGGTACCAGAGCAAGGCCAAAGGTCTATGATCGATTTTGTGATCGTATCATCAGACCTGAGGCCGCATGTATTGGACACTCGGGTAAAGAGAGGGGCGGAGCTGTCAACTGATCACCATCTGGTGGTGAGTTGGGTTAGGTGGCGGGGGAAGCCAAAGGACAGACCTACCCAAACGTGTAGTACGAGTGAACTGGGAACTTCTGGAGGAGGCCCCTGTTTGAGAGACCTTCAACTCCCACCTCCGGTGGAGCTTCTCTGGCATTCCTGTGGAGGCGGGGGACATCGAACCAGAGTGGTTGGTGTTCAAAGCTTCTATTACTGAAGCTGCGGCTGTGAGCTGTGGTCTTAAGGTCTTGGACGCCTTAAGGGGCGGTAACCCTCGAACACGGTGGTGGACACCGGTGGTCAGGGAAGCTGTCCGACTGAAGAAGGAGAATTTCCGGGATATGTTATCCCGGGGAACTCCTGAGGCAGTTGCAGGGTACCGGCAGGCCCGAAGGACTGCAGCCGCAGCTGTGAGGGAAGCAAAACAGCGTGTGTGGGAGCAGTTAGGAGAAGCCATGGAGAAAGACTTTCAGATGGCACGCAGGCGCTTCTGGAAAACCCTTTTGACACCTCCAGAGGGGAAGGCGGGGAACCATTCAAGCTGTGTACATTGGGGATGGGATGCTGCTGACCTCAACTGAGGAGGCGGTGGAAGGAACACTTTGGGGAACTCCTAAACCCGACTAGACCAACAAACCCGCCCTCTGTGATAGAGGCAGGGCTGGAGTGTGATGGGGGATCTGCATCAATTTCCATGCGGGAGGTCACTGAGGTAGTCAAACAACTCCACAGTGGCAAAGGCCCAGGGATTGATGAGATTCGCCCATAAATGCTGAAGGCTCTGGGTGTTGAGGGGCTGTCTTGGTTGACACGCCTTTTAAACATCGCATGGAAGTCGGGGTCAGCGCCAAAGGAGTGGTGGACTGGGGTGGTGGTTCCCCTATTTAAAAAGGGGGACCAGAGGGCGTGTGCAAACTACAGAGGCATCACACTACTCAGCCTCCCTGGGAAAGTTTACTCTAAGGTGCTGGAAAGGAGGGTTCGGTTGATTGTCGAACCTTTGATTGAAGAGGAACAGTGCGGGTTCCGTCCTGGTCGTGGAACAACAGACTAACTCTGTGTCCTGGAAGGGGCCTGGGGTTTACATGTGCTTTGTGGATTTGGAGAAGGCTATGACCGGGTTCCCCAGGATATCCTTTGGGAAGTGCTGCAGGAGTATGGGGGGATGGGGTCACTTCTCAGGGCCATCCAATCCCTGTATTTCCAAAGCGAGAGTTGTATCCGGATTCTTGGTCGTAAGTCGGACTCGTTTCCAGTGGGAGTTGGCCTCCACCAGGGCTGCACTTTGTCACCAATCCTGTTTGTGACTTTCATGGACAGGATATCGTGGCGTAGTTGTGGTGGGGAGGGGTTGCAGTTTGGTGGGCTGAGGATTGCATTGTTGCTTTTTGCGGATGATGTGGTCCTGATGGCATCATCAGCCTGTGACCTTCAGCACTCACTGGATTGGTTCGCAGCTGAGTATCAAGCAGCTGGAATGAGGATCAGCACCTCTAAATCTAAAGGACATGGTTCTCAGCAGGAAACCGGTGGATTGTCTACTTCGGGTAGGGAGTGAGTCCTTACCCAAAGTGAAGGAGTTTAAGTACCTTGGGGTTTTATTCACGAGTGAGGGTAGAATGGAGCAGGAGATTGGCCGGAGAATAAGGGCAGCAGGGGCAGTATTGCGATCCCTTTATCGCACTGTTGTCACAAAAAGAGAGTGGAGCCGAAAGGCGAAGCTCTCGATCTACTGGTCGATCTTTGTTCCTACCCTCATCTACGGTCATGAGAGATGGGTCATGACCGAAAGAACAAGATCGCAGGTACAAGCAGCCAAAATGGGTTTCCTCAGGAGGGTGGCCGGCGTCTCCCTTAGCAATAGAGTGAGAAGCTCAGTCATCCGCGAGGGATTCGGCGTAGACCCGCTTCTCCTTTGCGTAGAAAGGAGCCAGCTGAGATGGTTCGGGCATCTGATGAGGATGCCTCCAGGGTGCCTCCAGAGGGAGGTGAATTATCTGTGTGGTCTCTTGTTTTGTCTTAGAGCTGTTTCATGACGCTGATAATGAAGATGATATACATACACAGGTAAGCTAACTGTTTCTTAGTTTGTGACCCTCCTAAGCCCCGCCACTACATCAACTAGCGACTGATGTAGATTAGCTAGTTTGCTAACATTTTGCCTATATTAGCTATGTTAAGATGTAACTATAGTCGCTTTTATCTTTTAACCATCTTCAAAATGAGGTTGTCTTTTTGACATTTATTAGCCTAGCATAGCATGTCTAAGTCCGGGAAAGGGGGAAGTTCACTGAGGCTTGCTCAACTGTGATTGGAGCACAGTTTCCGTTACACCTAATTTTTATTTATATTGTCTGAGGCTAGCAATGTGGGTAGCCATCTTGGACTAGCATAGAATAGAAGCTACGATCACTTTATCCAACACAGCGAAGTAGTCCCCTTACCTCTTCCTGCTCCTCCCTTCTTCAATTCTCCTCCTCCTCCTCCTCCTCCTCCTCCTCCTCCTCCTGCCCCTCCTCCTCCCCAGGGAGGGCTGCCTTCCTCCTCCACCAGGATGAGGGGAGCATAGAGGAGGCGACCACGGCGAGGACACGGGTTCGCCCAGGACGCTGAGGAGGCTGCTGAGGAGTGACCGGAAGAGTGGCGAGACTCATAACTGCTGAACGTCTGCTGAGGAGGACGAGAGGAGGGTTACTGAGGAAGAGTGTGTGCGTGTTACCTATGTGTGAGTGTTACCTGTGTGTGTGTGTTTAGTGTGTGTATATTACCTGTGTGTGTGTGTGTGTTTTAGTGTGTGTGTATATTACCTGTGTGTGTGTGTGTGTGTGTGTGTTTTAGTGTGTGTTACCTGTGTGTGTATATTACCTGTGTGTGTGTGTGTGTTTAGTGTGATTTACCTGTGTGTGTATATTACCTGTGTGTGTGTGTGTGTGTGTTTAGTGTGTGTGTATGTTACCTGTGTGTGTGTGTGTTTAGTGTGTGTTACCTGTGTGTGTATATTACCTGTGTGTGTGTGTGTGTTTAGTGTGTGTTACCTATGTGTTTATATTACCTTTGTGTGTGTGTGTGTGTTTAGTGTGTGTTACCTGTGTGTGTATGTTACCTGTGTGTGTGTGTGTGTGTGTGTGTGTTTAGTGTGTGTGTTACCTGTATGTGTGTGTGTTACCTGTGTGTGTGTGTTACCTATGTGTGTGTGTAACCTGTGTGTGTATGTATGTGTGTTTAGTGTGTGTGACCTCTGAGTATAGTACCTGTGTGTGTGTGTGTGTGTGTGTTACCTGTGTGTGTGTGTGTGTGTTAACTGTGTGTGTGTTACCTGTGTGTGTGTGTGTGTGTGTAACCTGTGTGTGTGTGTGTGCGTGTGTTAACTGTGTGTGTGTTAACTGTGTGTGTGTTACGTGTGTGTGTGTGTGTGTGTGTGTTATCTGTGTGTGTATTAA